AACACGGCTGGGAACTGGGCCCAGCGTCCCTTATCAGAATACAAAAGACAAACTATTGGGACCACTACCGGCTTCGACTAAGAACAATTTGAAGAAAAGAGAAGAACTCAGAAACATTTATGGTCCACCACTTAAACTCTATCAAGTCACTAGAATATGTGTGTCAAAAGGCCTCCCAACCACGAATCAGATAGGTGAAACCTGTTCAATCCACCAACGACCACCACCAGCACAGTTGTTTTCAGCACGAACCAAAGCTCTTCCAGGCCTCTCATCAGGCTAGGTTACAGAGTTGCACCACCTTTTGCTCCAGCGCCGGCCAGCATTGCTCCAGCTATGACCCCCGATGACCACTGAGACTGGCCCTGCAAACAGCCCCCCAGATCTCTCTACCAGGCCTCGCAACCCTACTAAGCCAGGTCACAGAGTTGCGCCACCTGGCTACGGCTCCGGCCAGCATTGCTCTAGCATTGGTCTTCGAGGGCCATCAAATTTTGACCACCCTTTGCAGGGTGATAGATGAATTACCAGATAGCTCCTATTCCTAAACCTCCTTGAGAGGCAAACCAAATGGAAAAAAATACTAAGTTGGATGTTAGGATTCTTCGAGAGAGATCACTCCTCCCTCCCCCTCCCCCTCCCTCCCCCTCCCTCCCCCTACTCCTCCCTCCTCAGCCCTACACTGCCTCCGCCGAGGCGAGCCTCCCGCTCTCCCTTGGCCCAACCCTCTGGCCCCCTTTCCCCAGGGGCACGCAGTTCCCACCTAAAGCATGGCCCCCCACCCCTTGCCCATTTCTGCCTCCGTTGGGACTGATGTTAACCCACACACCAGCCCTTCCCCCAAAATAGGGCAACCCCCTACTCTGCCCCTACCCTCTTTGAGACATTCAACCCCCACCTTGTGAGTCAGTTTATTTTTGTAATTGATGGTAGGTCAGGGAGAGGACCCCAGGAATATGGTAATGGCCCAGGTTTTGCTCAGGTCCAATATTGTCGTCTTTCCGTTTTCTGTGTTTCGAGTCGCCAAGTATGACAAATGGTTTTCTTCCAACTAGGGCCAGAAACATGTATATCCTTGACGGCTGGGACTGAGAAGACTGGATCGACTTGCTATGTAGAGCGACCAAAGAGTGGTTGGGCTGGTATCTGATCTCAGACCGACATATTATTTTGTTGTTCAACATCAGCCACATCTCAGCAAACCTATCCTTTGTTAGGCTTAGCCAAAGTCGCTATGTCCTTTGCTAGCCACTCGCCCAGGCTAGCCAAAGCCTTCTCTCCACTCGACTATTTTGTGCATCGACCCAGGGGTAGGAGATATTATCATCATAGGTTCAGAGTGACTTGAGAGGGGCTTGAACTCGTTGCCTTCCTTTTGCAATTCAAGCATGCAAGCACATCAGCTATGCGGTGGGACAGTTCCATTCACGCGCTGACAAAACTTGTGTCAAAAAATTATTATTATAAGTTAATAAGTTAATAACCTAGTTGGCCTGGTACCAAACCCTTAAACGAGGCCCCATCTTAAAAGAAGGCGACTGGGTAGCAAGCACAGAGTCTCCACATAGGATAGGTCTGATACACATGTTCTCACCCCAGTCTGTCCTGGTTGAACACTACAAAATTACTAGAGCAGACACCCTCCTTTGAATGGAAGGAAAAAACTTATGTGTACCGGGTGAGGATCCTAGAAGAGAAAGGACAGAAGGTGGTGTTCCAGCCTCTCAAACCAATCCAGCATCTGGCCCTGGATCCGGTAGATTGGACATGGGATCCCCCCCCAGAGGAGGGGAGGGGTCTCATAGCAAGACGTATCAGCATCCACCAGCTGTCGGCCAGATCAGCCTACAAAATGCTCAGACCTAAAAGAAGGTTGAGAGACATAGTAAACGACGGATGAGCCAGGCACCTAAATGTGCATCACTCCCTTCTGTCGCCAATCAAATGGTTCCAAGAACAAAAAGCAAAACCTATGAAAATCACATCCCTGCAATGGCAGATTGCCCACCGCTGTCTACCAACTAACGACTGGCTAACGGATCACACTAACTTATAACAAAAAGGCCTGCTGCTTCCATGGTGCCACCGGTGCCAGACCCTTTTTCCATTCCACAGGAAGGCGGAAACCATTGAACATATGTTCATGCAATGCCCGATCGCCTAATTCATATGGAGATGGTGGGATCACAAGCGTCTGCTGAGCACAGTGCAAGGTCAGGAAATCAATACTCTAGCTACACGTGAGATTGATTCCGGACAATTAAGAGTCGGAAGGCGCGAAGCGAAGCTGTTTGTAACCCCCTGGCCCTGGTCTTGGCAGGCCATTCTGGCCGGCCATTGGCCGCAGGCAGAAGCAGCTATGACCTTCGTAGAAAACATGTACAAACTTGGAAGGAGAGCGGTAATATGGGCACTTTGGTGGCAAAGATGCACTTTGGCCATGTAGAAGGTGAGAGTAGAAGAGGCGGAAATCACTGAACAGATTCAACAGCAGGTACACTTCGAACTCACACAGAGATGGCCAGACACAAAAGCACAGTTAGACCTTAAACAGGTAGGAGATGTCAGGAGACGGATCACAACATTTTGCACAGACTGGGTGGGAGGGGAGAGAGAAGGATGGATTGTGAAAGTAGAATGGAGCGGAGACAAGGGAAAGGGACAGTGGGATTTGGAAGAGATGAGAGACTATCGCCTATGTTTTAAGGACTGGACAAACATTGAACCCTCATTCCCACTCCGCCCCCCCTCAGACTTCCCCGACCCCTTCCTACCCCATGCCCTCTCCCTGGCAGAGATCCTGTCCTGACTGAGGAATTCTGTTACCCCATCTTCTGCTCACTCGTACTCAGATGAGAAAGGGCCCTCCGGAGTCCCCCGGGTAGGTTATTCTTTCTTCTGCTAAATACCCAAATTTTTCCGTTTCCGTCTCTCCATCTTGCTGCTCAGTTAACCCCCCCCTTCTACAGATTGGGGCAGTCAATGCTGGCAGCCTGTCAATGCGGGCAGCTTGAATATTCTGGGTCAAGGAGTATGGGGGGCTAGTTAGGGGTGGGAGGAACTCGTGTGCAGGCCAGGGTGAAGAGGTTCCCCCTCCTCTCTAAGGCCCTGCTCAGTCAATCCCCCAGGGTAATCAATGCTGGTAGCTCCCCCCAGCAACCTTTTTGGATGTATCCCAAACAAAAAAAAAAACGAAAAAAAAGGTAGTTAGGGCATACTCAGGCACAGTGACCGAAAATTGCAAAATAGCAAAATCAGTGGCCAGATGGAGTCCTTGTAAAGTGAGGACTCGATCCAGCCACTGAATTGCTACTTTGCCATTTTGAGGGCCTAGTGTGAGTATGCTCTTACATCATTTTACATGTACTTGTTTTTTTCTTTTTTTTCTTTTTTTTAGCTAGTTACAATGTGTGGCCCATTCAGCCACATTGGCTGGGTATGCGGGCGATTGGTCATCTTTCTTTCTTTTCTGCTTTTTTTTTTTTGGGGGGGGGGGGTTTTTTTTTCAAGCAGGCCCAGTGCCCAAGGCTTTTTTTTTTTTTTTTTAAAGAGGAATGCGAGGTTTGAGCCCCTCGCAGGGCCTTTCGACCCCGACAGGAAAGGGGACCTCAGTAAGCCCCGTGCCCGTCCTGAGTGAAGGCAGGCCTGCATTTCAACATGAGGGCTTATTTTTGTCGTTTCTGCATGTTGTGGCGCCAGACAGTTTCCACATGCCAGATGGTTCCAAGGCCCATGTCTGTGGGATCACGACATTCTGAGCCTCAGGGCTCACCCAGGCAGCGATGTTTGGGCTGCTTAACTGTTGTGGGCCCAGGCCACCGTCTTCATTGGGCCTGGGCCCAGATACTGGGGCCCAACCAGAAGCTAGTACGACTGGACACACGGTGGCCAGGCGCCAGGCATGCAGAGGCTGGGCGCACTTTCCATATAGGAAAGTGCTTGCCTCCCAGCGGCTCATTCAGGCGCCAGGCTGCTGAACAACAGCGCTGTCATTCTGTGCGCTTGTTGGCACGACCAGAGCGCTGGCGACCTGTTGTGCACACGGGCGCAGAGACAGGTGTGTGGGCACTGTGGTGGCAGCGGGTGCGAGAGGCCATAGCCGGGCCTGCTCACGGGTGCTGGTACTGGTGATGGTCGTCTTCGGGCAGAGGACACTGACATGGTGGGAGAGAAGGGATTCAGGTCAGGGAGAGATGAGAGACATACCTGGTGTAGTATGCGGCAACTTTGTCACGTACACTGGTCTTCAGCTTGAACTGACTCCTGTTGCATGTCGTAGTGTAGGCTAGAGTAGGTTGTGAGTAGAGATAGGCTGGCCGCTGAGCGCCAATCGAGAAGGGTGACATTGGATACTACGTGGTTGGTGGTGAGAAGAGACCGGCATTGACATTTGGGTTCACCTGGGCTACCAGCCGGGCCGCCCGGGTCCCGGGTGGCCAGCCCATGCAAGGACCAGGGAAGGTCCCAAAAGAAAAAAGAAAAAAAAACGAAAAAAAACTATGTTATCATTGTTATGCAGAAAAATAAACCGAACAACTTTTGCCTCAGGGTTTAGCTGTTTATTTTCATTCATGTGGTAGGGGCTGTGGAGTTGGCTGTGGGGTGAAATCTAGTGGTGCTCTTGATGTGCTTGGCCGGTGATGCCTTGCCCGCTGAGGGCCCCACCCAATTTTGTAAGGGATGTCAGGCCCGGTGCCTGGCCTTTAAAAAAAAAATAATAATAAATTATTCACAATTTTTTTTTTATTTTTTTTTTTGTTTTGTTTGGCCCGGCCGGGCAAGTGACCCCGGGCCACTCTGGTAGCCTAGCTAATAACTGTATTAACTGTGTTGATGTTTGTGCATGGCTTTTCCGTCTGGCTTTTGCTGTGGCCTCATCACACTTGCGGACCTGTGACAGAGAGGCTGTACGATTCTGTATGCTACCCACATATTTGATGGACTTGACACATGGGCTACACATGTGGCGTATGTCGCATTCGGGCGTCTCGAGAAAGGCTTAAAGGTGACCGAGCTCGAGGGGCTGCACCAGCCCGGGGGAGCAGACAACCTGCTTGAAATGGTTGAACCATGGCTGCGGAAAGAGCGTGAACTGCGACCAAAGAAAGCAGAAGAGTACAAGAAGAAGCAAGAGGAGAAGAAGCGTCTTGAGAAATCATCTCCAAGCAAAGCAGCTCAGGATCGGTTCCCATCTACCCCGGCGTCCCGTCAAGGAGAGTCGTTATGGGGTGCAGGAAGACACATGGCCTTCTATCGATGACAATGGAAGAACACTAAGCCATCTCCTCTTCTAATCCAGTTATTCCTGAGAAGATTGGGGAGCACACTGACATCCACTATTTCATAGCAGCCGTGCAATGCGCGGTAAGGTGCGCAGGCAGCCTAACGATGAAACGCAGGGAACAGCATTCTTTGCCTGTGGATGTCTGTGGGGATCATTGTGCCCTTGTGGGATGCATGTCCACTACTTGCTGGATACAGCCCCATGTTTTGTTGTGATTCTCTCCTCTTAGGGTTTGCTAAACCACCGGCAGTACTTGGCCCAGCTATTGGCCATGGGAAAAAAATAGAGTAGAGACGTTTCTAGTCGGATGAATTTGGGCGCTCCTGTAGTGGCCCGTACGTTTTTTAAATCATGGAGCGTTAACAGGCACGACTTTAGGAAGTACTGGTGGTTTCAATAAATAGACTGCTAAGTTGGGATGTGGTCATCCTGGAAGAAAGCACCTTGTGGAAAGGTCTTCTTTGAATAGATTTGACATGTAATATGATCTGTGATGGGTAGAAAGCTGTTGCAAGTTGCAACACATCACCAGATAATGTGGGGTTGCATTCAACAACGAAATGTGCACACACACTTGCATCCTCCTGATGAGTCGGTGAAAGTCCAACGAAAGTCTGACACGGTCATACTTCATTTTGTTGAGTTGTGTATAGCGAACATGACAACACGCACGCATGCACAAGGTCTGGTTACACAAACGCTCGATTCTTCCCATCGGAAGGTTTTATATTTTTCGCTTGCTTGACCCGGTTTGGTGCATGAGAAATAACAAGAGACAGTAAATGTGTAAGGACCTGCTCAACACAGACTGAGACTCACAGCCGATTTCTGAGTTTTGCCACTGGAATGAATGCCTTGCTGAGATTCCTGTTTGTTTCTGAGTTTTCTAAGTCTGTGTGTGTGTGTGTGCTTGCTGGTCTGCGTGCCTGTCTGAGTGCTTGTCGGCTTGAGTGTGTGTGTGACCCGCGACACTTAGAGCAGCGGAAAAACACTCAAATAGCAGGTAGGCCGGTACCACACCAAGTAGCGGTAGATGTGCGGGTGCTCGAGGCCGATCAGAAGAAGACAAAGTCGGCATTTTGAGAGGCCCAGTAGTTGTAGGCTAGGTCTAGGTGGGTACCAGTCAAGTACTCTGAGTCTAGTGCCTGTACGGGCAATATCAGAGTCTGCAATGATGTTTCCCTCCAAGGTACTGGTTGCTTGGAGGCCGCGTGGCCTAGAAGTCACCGCCCAAGAGGCAAGCAGGCCGCTATATCTCCTGGAGGAGCAAAGAGCTCCTCCTCATTCTACGGTGTGCAAGTTTGCCGACACATTGCTTGGAACGCTGGAACAGCGCTGCTGGGGAGGAAGGAGCGCCCAGCTCCCCACCTCGGCTATGGTGGAGGAGCACGGGCTGGAGGAAGAAGGCGAGGACTAGGAAGGGGAAGTGGCAGAGGTACTTACCTGGCTATGGTGGAATCAAACTTGCGGTGCACGTCGTGCGCGGCACTTGCGCACGTGCGCCGCATAGCCCAGTGCGCAAGCAGCGCGCGCATGGCCTAAAACAAGGGTCGAAGAAAAAAAAAAAAAAGTTGGGGGGCAGGGTGCAAGTGAGAGGGGGGGTAGCCGTAAAAATGAAACCGGGCGCTCGTAATTTTTTTTTCCAGGCTGCGCCAAGGCACGGAAAAATATTTTGGCCCAACGTTCGAATTCGAACGCTGGGTGAGGCAATCTCCCGCCCAGGCTGCCAGACACATCATTCATGTCCTCCAACTCGTCCTCACGCTGCCGTCGTCATCGAAGACCCCTGGCCGTTGTAACACCTTGGCCATCTTCATTGAAGTCCTCCATCGGACATCCTCAATAGCCGGGCAGCAGCAGCAGGCAGACTTCAGCAGCAGCACCCAGCAGGAGCAGGGGTGGTCGCCTCACTCTCTCTCTCCCGGCCATCCTCTATCCCCTTGGTGCTCTCTCTCTCTCTCTCTCTCTCTCTCTCTCTCTCTCTCTCTCTCTCTCTCTCTCTCTCTC